CATCTAATCAGCCTCCTGTTGGAGCTTTAATGTATTTTCTCTTAGACAAACAATTGTACTTTTGAGAATCTTTCTTTCTCTTTCTTTCTGTATTAGGTCATGTTTGTTTACATCTACAAATGTGTGTGCGTGTGTGTGCGCGTGTGTGTAATATTTTCATTGTTTAATCTTTTTACTAAATAGTAGAAGGAAAATTATTCAATGTTGGAGGAATATGTAAAATATAGAATATTTTGCATGATAAAAAGTGAGAAATACAAAAGTCTCTTTAGCTTAGTATTGAATATTCTTCAAATATATAATTTTATGGAAATAACAATCACATCATAATCTGTATACATACAATGCCATATTTTAGTAGAAAGTATTTAAATTCTGATATATGTATTTTTCTGAGTTTTCTCTTAAAATTAAAACTCAGAAAAATATCAACAAAGAACTAAATTAAAATTCTTAAAATTTAAGAAAATACTTTGAATTGTTTAACTGGAAGAAGGAAATATAAGAACAGGTGAAAAAATAAAATGTCTGGATATATCTCTTTTATAGTTTTGATTTTTTTAAACATGTGACATAAGTTATTCTCAAAAATAAAATAAAATAGTATGATATAAATGCACAGTCAGATAGTCATTTGGAAAGTGTGAAGTTATAGCTGAACAAGGTTAACTGGCAAGTACCTGATGATTACACATAGGTGATTCGAGCTCTGAGTTTTTCGGGGACTGGGGTGGCTGTTCAGGAAACTGACATCCAAGAGGAGGTCCTCAAGTAAAAGAATCATAGCTCTCATGCATGCATGGAAGAGAAGGGGAGGAAAGAAGTGTTTTCCATGAGCATGGACAGCATGTGCAGTGACTTGTGTGAAGAACATGACCCATACATGAAACAGGACACTCAAGAGCACTTTCACTTAGGCAAAAGAACAAACATAAGGAAAAAAAAACTTTGGTATTGTGGCTTGCACCTGTAATTACAGCACCTGGGAGGCTGATGTAAGACAATTGCCACCCTAAGGACAGCCTTAGTCACAATGTAAGATTTCTGTCTCAAATTATAATGATAGTCATGATATCTTATCACAAAGTTTTTCTAGGTCATAAAAATCATATTGGCTTATATTCCCGCAGAAAGATAGACATTGGTATCTGTAAATCACAATTGACATTGTGAAATATTTGCTTTGGTTGTGGTGTAAAGGACACTTCAGAAAGTCATTATATGGGAAAGAAACTGACCCTTGAGGACAATGTTTTGTTCCCTAAACAGTAGACATGAAAAGCATGGAAACAACATATTCTAGTGTTGCTCGTACTAAAGGAGATTCATTAGAAAAGAATGTGGAAGAAACTGGAGTTAGTTTTGTTGTATGTTAATTCACTGGTAATGGCAATTCTGAGTACTCAGGATTTGTTACAAATCAGTAAGAGTAGGATGGTTTTATCTTTCTTAAGGGGGATGGACATAATTGAGTTCAGAATTCTGTTCTATGTAGTCCACAATTCAAGCTTTAAGGATATAATCAGGGGTATTGGCACATGTTTAAATGGAAGTTCACCACTGAAATGTTTAAAAAAAAAAACTCATGAGAACAAATATATTATCCAAAGTATAAATGTTATTATTGATTTTGTAAATGTATACAACAGGAGAATATTCATCTAATCGAATGTGTTTAAAATAATTTTAAATTAAGATGTTATGTATTTATGAATGACAAATACAAACATATACCATTTGCTACTGCTTGTATAAATGCATCAAGGCAGAATATATCCCTTACCACAAAGGAAATAAGACATAGATTATTATTCAGTCAAATATGAGTTCTCTGGCCTGAGAATATGGATTCAGGTTTCTCCAACTAACATAATCTAAAATATAAGTACTTTCATGGAGTTTTGTAGCTACATAACAAAGAAATTCATAAGTCAATCTGATTTCCAAATATATTGGTGAAAATATTAGTTAAGTGAGTTATAGAAAAATGAATAAATTTCAATGGTTATAATGCAGGGTATAATTAGATATAATGCAAGAATCTGATTCTAGAAAATAAATTACTACCACTGATAAAATAATCTATTTTTAGGTGGGATGATAAAAAGAAATAGCTTATCATTTTATATGCATTATTGAGATTCTTTTCATGTAATTTTGATATTCTGATGGAAACTAAGTGTTAGAAGAGATGATAGTATTTGGGGAAATAAATATCACACTTACATTTAAGGTTGTCTTGACAAATGTTTACAGAAATATATTAGGGGAGCAGGAGATCCCAGCTGGATCAAGAACAGAGAGGGAAAACAAGAAATAAAAGACCATGATGGGTGAAGACCACATGAAAATAGGAAGAAGCAGAATGCTGGAAAGGCCCACAGAAATCCACAAAGATACCCCCACAATAGACTGCTGGCAATGGTCGACAGACAGCCCGAATGACCTACTCTGGTGATAGGATGGCCAAACACCCTAATTGTTGTTTGGGAGGCATCCAGGCAGTGGGACCGGGTCCTGTACTCAGTGCATCAGTTTGCTGTTTGAAACCTGGGGCTTATACAGGGAAACTTGGCTCAGCCTGGGAGGAGGGGACTGGACTTGCCTGGACTGAATCTACCAGGTTGAACTCAATCCCCAGGGGAGTCTTTGCCCTGGAGGAGATGGGAATGGGGGGTGGGCTTGGGGGAAAGGTGGGGGTGAGGGGGCAGGAGGGGGGAGAACAAGGGAATCTGTGGCTGATATGAAAAATTAGATTAAATTATAAAATACGAAAAAAAAAGAAAAATATGAAGCTTTTGCTATAAAAACTTGGTAAAAGTCAGCTATAGCTGTGTTTACTAGCTATGAATTTTACATGTTGAAACATAAATTTGAAAGTTAAGATATGCCTTCGGGTACAATAATGGCAAGAACAATATGAGATTAAACAACCATTTTCTGATTGTATCTGAAACTGAATGCATACTGAGAAGTTCAGACCTTGTATGCTCAACCTGATCAAAGACCCATAACTGGGAAAATGGTAGGTCCTAAAGATGAACCTACTCCTTTCATTTTTCTAAATAGACATAACAAATTACCTGCTAAATATTTACACTTATAACAAGACCCATGGTGCCCTGATCCTTGATCAAAGAAGCTTAATTTTGCTATGAACAGTTAAAGCCAAGATTCACAGCTCATCAAGAAACTACAAGTTGTTGTTAAGTCTTCAGTTTTAAAAAGGGTACCCATAACACTGCTTAGAAAGTTCAAGAAACACTGTGAAAGAGGTAGTAGAAGGAATGGAAGAGCCAAGAAATAAGGAAGAGGAGGATCCTGAAGTGTTGTCTTAAAAGCATGAAAAGGTCACAGTGTTTGTGAACTCATAGCATTTACTATTGCTTGCACGAGGTCTGCCCAAGACTGAGCCTGTAAATATTCATAGAATCAGGAGGGTCTCATGAAGGTTGAAACCTCCCATTGCTGGTATTGATAGTAGGGGGCTCCAAGGGGAGGGACATTCATTGTCTTCGGTGTCATGGTCACTGTTTGAATTGCCCATGTTCAAATAGATAGCTCCACATGCATGCCCACACAGAGGTCCTGGATAAACTCATTATGTCCAAACAAGAAGACATGGATGTGGGTGGACACTTCTTCACTAAAGAGAACTTTGTTAGGAATGGGAAGAAGAAAAGCCAAGGGTGGGCATGTAGTGAGTGTTACCAGACATATTATATGTATGCATAAAACTTTTAATGAATAAATACATAAAAAAGCAGAAAATATTTTTCATTTTTGTATTTTTTAAAATATAATTCTAATTTTTATGTATTCCAGAAAGGTTTTGTGCTGAGTTCAAGAAAGATTTCAAATATGAACTGTGCAACAAGCTATTACTTTATTATAGTCTCTTAATTGCCTACAGCAGTGGTTCTCAATATTCACTCTGGGTAGCAGTCAGCTGGTGATTTTTTGCACTGCAGATTTTCTTTCTGTGTCTAGGGGTGATATTGTGCATTCTCTTAGGTCATTCTGATGATGCTTAGTCACAGTTCTCACACTTAAAAGGAGTAAGTCATGTGAACATTCACCATAAAGATGCTTGTAATTTGCTTCATCCATCACCTTACCATCTCTTTTGTTCCTAAACTGCACTAGAAAAATAAAAACCATAAAGCTTCTTAATATACAATGAAAAAAATCATAAAAAATAATGCAAAGCCTGCAGTCCCTTTTTATCTATTTCAAAATAAAATTGGTTCTTTTCCTTTTTTCATGAACAGGGAATGTACTATGTTGAGTGAAATCATGAGTTTCCTTCTTCAGTATCCTCAGAGGCTAATATTGTGGGTGTGTAGCACTTAAATTAATTTTACTGAACTCTTATCCACTTGAACATGTATAAAAATCTAATGGTTTAAGAACTTGTTAAATATTTCATTCTTATGTTATCTCATTAAGCCTTTTACAATATTTTATTCATGGTACTCTTGCTAATATTTTAAGTTCTATTCATTTTATTTATATCTATTTCTTTATAGTTTCACATTGTCAAAAAATTTTATTTATCTAATCTTTTTCTGGTAAGATTCTACAGCTATGCCTATGTTAACAAATAATTGTAAAAGCTAAAAATAGTGTCTGGTTCACCATATGTGTTTAATAAATGATTATTAAATGTATTTTGATGTACTTTTATTTAGTTTCCAGAAGACTTTCAGAATGAAAAACACTGCTTCATTTAACACAGATTTTATGACTAGTTTTCTTATCCAGGTATAAGATTTTAAAATATTCATTGTTTGGAATAAACCAATTGTGAACAGCTTATTGGCAAAAAAAACCCTTTAAATATTCACTCCATTTATCTCCGTGGTATTGTATTAAATATCATAAATAGAACAGTTATAAATAACTTTTAGTATAATTCAACACAAAACATAAAATATGCAGAGGTGGGTATATCAGAATTCCATTTCTTAATTTCAAATACTTACCATGAGCAAATGAGTCTGAGACATCCCTCTAAACAGAATTTAATTGTTGCCTTCTCAAAACTCATGCATGTTTCTGTTTAATAGAAATCTCTTTTTCGCTACAAATTTCTGGAAAGCTTTCATTACATCTTTGTTCCTCAGGGTATATATGAGAGGGTTGACTAATGGGGTGATCACACAGTAGAACACTGAAACAACTTTGCCAATTGTGAAATTGTACTTGGCAGGAGGGCGGACATAGGCAAAGATTATGGTGCCATAGTAGATAGTAACTACTGTGAGGTGGGAGGCACAGGTTGAGAATGTTTTCTTCCTAGCTTCCTGGGAAGACAGCTTAATTATTGTGACCACAATGTTGCCATAGGAGCTCATTGTGAGAAGGAAAGAACTGAGAATCACCACAGAGCTGCAGGTGTAACCCAAGGCCTCCACCAAGAATGTATCTGAACAAGAGAGTTTAAAGATAGGGTCAGAGTCACAGAAGAAATGGTTGATTTTTTGTGGGCCACAAAAGTTCAACTGAGAGATGAGTATGGTGGGTAGCAGAGGGGCAATGAAGCCCCCAATCCAAGAGCCCGCTGAAAACCTCCTGCAAATCTGAACACTCATGAGAAGCGAGTAGTGTAGAGGACGGCATACAGCCACGTGCCGGTCATAAGCCATCACTGCCAGCAAGATACATTCAGTGGCTCCCAGGGAGAAGAAGAAGTAGTACTGAGCAATACAGCCCGCAACAGGAATGGTGACAACTTTTGTGATACATGTGGCCAGCAGCTTAGGTACTGTGGCCGTAGTGTACCAGATCTCCAGGAAGGACAGGTTTCCTAAGAAAATGTACATGGGGGTTTGCAGTGTGGAATCCATCAGAATAAGGAAAATTATGAGGGTGTTTCCCATGAAAGACAGCAAATACACAGTGAGAAATATCACAAATAATGCAAGCTGCAGTTCAGAGGAGCCTGGAAATCCAAGAAAAATAAACTCTGTCACCACTGTTTGATTTGTTACATCCATATTTCTTCTTCTCTGCCCTCGTAGGAATCAACAGCACTCAGGTGATAGTTGGTGAGTGAGAATCAGGACTGTAATGTATTATTCATTTCTGCCAAAGACTCTAAGTGATCCCTAGCAACCAGAGAAAACCTGTTGAAAACAAAACTGAAAATTTCACATATAATATAAATTTATTATCTAGTTTCATATTAAAAATAAATCTCTAATGTAAATATTCTATCTACCTGTTCCAAATGAAAACCAAAGTAGATAGGCTGCACACCCACTGTTCTATCACTCAGGTAGTAGGGCATGGATGGAACACTGACAACTTGATTTAAAGACCAAGGAAGAACATGGCACATGACACTGAGGACTTCATTTTCTAATGTGCAGATACAAAAAACAATAGTTGATGCAGTCGCTAGTAGAGGCTCTTGTAGCTATATAGTGCACCGTTGAGATAAAAGACTAACCACAATTTTAAATTCATGATCTTTACTTACATATGACTTTATGATTGGAAGGAAATAAGGACATGAGTTAAACCGGACATTTTGTTTCTGAACATCTAGTTAACATTTCCTGGTCTCTGACTTACGCATGTTTAGAATCTCCACATCTTCCAATTTTCCCACATTGACCAGAAGAAAAGGAACATATGAAAGTGACAATTTTTGTTGTTAGAGTTGTAAGGATTCCCCATGGATATATTCATATGCATCCATGTCGAAATATTCCAGTGGTGTTTACAAAGTTTAAAATATTCATAAACCTAATAAAATGTTCTTTACATTTCAAATATTTTTTAATTATAAACTTTCTACAATAAAATACACCAAGTAAACATCTCATATCAAAAAGAAATCACCAGTAGAATTGAAACAGGATCATTTTTGTTTTTGATTATAGTTTCTTATTTTACTCCTTTCTGGAGGATTCAAGATATAAAACTTCATTTAAAAATATATGTGCATCCTTGATTCCACAGGCTTATTATTTCCAATAATGTCATTTATATAGAGGAGAACCTTTCTTGGAAGTTATTTTTTTCTCAGACATAATTCAAGAGCCAAATAATGTTAGTATGTTGACAATATTTTATTTCTTCTTGAAGCTACAAATACTAATTCCTAAAAATTGCTCAGGCTATTTCCTCAGTTTTGTAACAAAATTCTTCTTTTCAGGCTATAAACTCATTCAAAAAGGTTTGAGAAATTAAGGAGAATCTGTAATTCTAAAAGCATTTTGTAAAAAAAAAAATAAACTTGAACTAATTTTCTAAATGTTTCTTTTTTTAATTTTTGATATTTAAGAATGATGTTAAGATTTATATTATTCATAAAAGGCCATATTCCAAAGTGGCTTTTATAGTTTATAGGATAAAAAGATATTACGTAGATTTTATTTCACCATTAGCAAGAAAAACTACAGTCATTATTTTCAAATAATTTAACCTGAATTTTTATGTAAAATTAGACTGATGTGATCCCTTCCCAAAGTCCCTATTACTTTACTAAAACACATTACAGTTCTAATTCTGCTTTAAGAAATGACAAAACAGAACATTATTCCACTGAATTAAGTTAGAAAGAAACTGGAAGACAGAGAAAATGAACTTGAAATCAATGAAAGCTTTTATTAATACTCAAACATAGAAACAACTCATACACAGTTTGTGTTTAACCTTATAAGATGGAATTATTCACCCTACATACAAAATGCATATTTGAGGAAGAATATTGCCTCTCTTTATCGACATTGTCAAAATCACAAAAGTCCTATTGGCAGTTATTTGCATGGGCCTGCCATTGCCCCTAGACATTTGCTGAAGCACATTTACAATTCCTCCCTTATGTACTTACCTTGGGTGCTCTGCATTGTCATTTTAAACAAATGTAGTATTATTAGTTAAGTGCTCTCTGAATTTTCATTTTCACCAAAGCTGTGCAGTGAGCACACTCCTCAGGCAACTCAGAGGGCATCAGGTATCTCCTCCTTGTTGTGTTACTGGCCATGATGCAGCATCTGTGTTTTGGTAGTGCCACATGCTTTCTTGTTTCTCAGTTACATTTTCCCACTGTGGTCAGGTTACAGGAAAAAGTGAGTCCAGAGTTCCCCTCATGAGAAGAATCATGATTTCATCACCCCAGAGCCTTGGGGCATCTAATTTCTCTGAGGAATTCCCTTTGTTGAGGGTCAGAATGTTTTCCCCTGTGAAGTAAAGAAGAGAGATTCTTCATAGAATTAGACATGTCACCACAGGAACTGAGAATGGTGTCTCAAATTACTTCATTAGTTGCCAATACCTATGGTCTTGGATCTTTAAAGTACAGTTAAAGAAATGAATCACTTGACATTCCAGCCTCCAAAAGAATTTTTCTTAAATCATAAATATTAGCATATAAGATATGAACTAGATTAGCATTGAAATGTCTTAATCTGTAATATAAGAAAAAACAAAAACAAAGCCAAAACTGGGCTGGAATCATTTTTGAAAATTTAAATATTTGGTAATGTAAAAGAAAAGTCATAACCTGTAGTAATGAGCAAGGCTGGCAAGCTTCATGAAAGGGGTCCCCACCAGCACATACACAGGAATAGATAGGAAAACTAAAGACGATTGGTGGCCAAAGAATAGAAAATCTTGCAGAGAAAATAAAATGAGTTGATATGCATCATCAAAAAGAAAGAAAGAAAACAAGTTTGATGTTGTTAAAATTACTTAAATTCCTCAACAAAAAATGTTGATCCTTTAAACATTTTTGTTATATCAACAAACCATTGCTGAATAAATATATATTTGTATTTGGTTTTTCTGCTGAATATGTTTTTTGGGGGTAGAAAGTTAAAATAGAGAATTTTTCCATCTTTTAAAACTTATTATTATATATTAGTTGTACATAATAATAGGATTAAGACATTTTCACACAGGTTTATATTTACCCATTCATTTTTCCCACACAGCTACTCTCTAATATTCCACTTTTCCCCTTCTAATTAATTTTTTTAGATGCCACACATTAGAGTGAACACATGATTCTTGTATTTCTACATCTGGCCTATTTTTCTAAATGTCTTTTTATCAGCTAGGTTACCAACAAGTGACCCAAGAAATGATTCACCTCAAGTCCAAAATGGTGAGCCAATTATTTTACTCAGCCAACTATAATACAACTGTTCAGCTGTTATTACAGGAATGTGGGTGAATTAAAACAATAGAATTACCAAGCAGTCCTACCTTAGAATGAGTAACAACCTCATGAAAGTTGTATTACTGAGTCCCACATTTAGTTAAACACCTACCCCTTATTTAGTTAGGCACTTTGCCCAAGACCATGTGAAGCAAGAGGCCAGAGTGAATTGTGGATGAATTCTCAAATGACAACCTTTGTTTCCTGTCCTTTCCTTCTATTATAAAATATTAACAACCCAAGTACCATTACCCTAGACCTAGAAGTCAGTATATTATCTCATTTAATTTTCTTGCCAAGGCTGTTTTGCCAAGCACACTATACATTACCACAGTAACCTCTGCTCCATAGTGGTTGACAGATATGTCAAAGTCTGATGAAACTGCTTTCCATTTGGATACCAACAATCCCATTTCCCTCAGACTCACAAAAGTGTGAAAGTGATACTCTTTATCAACTTTTTGTTGACTCCTTTCTATTTTGAAACCAAAGAACATAATTTTAGTGTACAATAATTTACCCTGATTCCTCAAGTTTCATGGTATTATGAACTATCCACCAGAGAAGGATATCTACTCTGACATGGATTTAAGCCGATAGAAAGTCTTTATTAGCCAGACATCATATATACTGGGTGTTTGAGATCCCAGTGCAGACCAGAGCCTCTGCAAGATGTACTTCTAAGCACAAAAAACGTATTTTTGATTAAGATGATTCAGTTAATAAGAATAGTTAGCCAGAAGCAGAACTATAGAAGCCAAAAAGCAAGTTTACTACATTCTTTCCCAAGAACTAGAGACTTTCCCAAGAACTATGGACTTTGATGGATTTGGTCTGATGGTATTTCTACATGCTGGGTTTTATAATCTGAATAGTGCTTGGTGGGGTGGGTGGTTTATGGTCTTTCAATGGGTTTTGGGTTTGGGATAATTGTCATTGTTTAGAGTGGTTGGTTACAAGTTGTTATTTTTAATGGTCAGGAAGAAGCTAAACAAAGGAGATTATATTTAAGGTTCTTGTTTGAAAAAAATAAAGAAGAGAAAATGAAATAAAAAAGGATATAGATAAGAGGTAGATTATTGAATATGCTCTGAAAAAATATAGAAATGATAGAATGGTAGATTATTGAATCTACTCTGAAAAGAAAAAAGAAAGGATATAGACATGATATAGATAAAAAGGTAGATTATTGAATTTACTTTTAAAAGAACAACTAGTTTTAGATATTTTACATTGGATTGGATTTTCATATGTTGTATACAAATTATAGATTTTGATACAAATTTGAGATTTATTTTTTTAGAAAATGCTATATATATAATCTTATTCAAGATATTGTACCTATATAATTCATCTAACAATGTAATGCAATATGCTAAACCTTGAATGTTATTATTACCAACTATTAGGATATAAAGAAATGAAAGTTAGTAGTTAGATATTACAATCAAACTTGTAGTCTGTAGTTGGAAGTTTCCCTATGTCCCACCCAATCCACAGCTGTTCAAACCCAAGTAAACAAACAGAGGCTTATGTTAATTAAAACCGATTGGGCATTTGTGATGATATTGTATTTGTGCTGAAATGTGATGATATTTAATTTGTATGTTAATAAATAAAGTTTTTCTGGGGATCAGAGGAAATAGCAAGCCATTTTAAGTAAACACAAAAGTCAGGCAGTGGTAGCATATGCCCATAATCCACTCACTTGGAAGTCAGGGTCTCTGTGTGTTCAAGACCATAATAGGGAACAGAGCCAAGTGTGGTGACACACAGATTTAATACCAGTATCAACCATAGAGACCTGGAGATCTGTACAGACAGGCAGTGATAAGGAAGTAAGGTAGTTGGACTACGAGCCAAT